AGGTTTAAATACTAAAGCAAACTCAGTGAAGTTATTGAATCACTCAGATCTGTTTCTTTATTTGCTGAATCTCTTTTTTATTTGCTGAATTCTTTATTTGCTGAATTTAATGGCTGATCTTGGTGTGGCTGATCTTGCAGTGGCTGATCCTGCTGTGGCTGTCTGCTATGTCCTGTTTTGCATGTGATGTTTGCTTCTGCTCTATGTATGTGCAGCTTGTATGTATACCATTATAATGCTTTATGTATCACAGCTGTAAGTGTAATTTTTTTATTTTTATGGAAGAATGTCAAGGAATTTGGCTACTTTTAAGTAGTTGATAGATTTTAGTGCTTCGTACTAGAATCTCCAAAAAAAAAAAAGATATAAAGCATTTAAAAAATTAAAACCCAAAGCAGTTTTTAAAATTGTAACTCTAACTGCTCAACCTGAAGTAAAAAAAACTAATTTATTTTGAAAAAGGTGCTACAAACTTTGCATACTAGACTGATATGATTCCCTGCCCGATTTTCTTAACACATTTGTCACAAGTGCTTAAGGAATAAGCCAGGCTGAATTTTTGAAGCTGTTAGTTAAATTCCAGATGTTGTTTTAATAATAATAATAATAATAATAATAATGTTATTGTTTTCATGTTTTTATTGTGCTTGATAAACTACTAATGTAGTTTTGCCCTTCTGGATAAGTATATAGCGTTTTGGTTCAGGCTTTCTCTACTTTTATTTTAGTATATCACCAATATTTTCCCCACCATTTGAGAGCTACTGCTTGATTGTCAGGGTGTTCTGATGGTAGAAGACACTTTCCCTTTTATGAAGATTAAGTATAACGTGTTCTCAGGTTGCGAAGGGGGGGGGGGGGGGAGCAAGGCCACCATCTGTCTCTGGCTGCACAGAGTCAGGTGAAGAGTTGCACAAATTGTCATCCTCACAAGTAAGTACCACATGTCATTTAATGCTGGTCACCAGTCTCAGGAGAAGCTGATCTGCGCAGGAATATTCAGAATTTTTTAAGTATTTCTGTATCTCCGGATCTCTGCATTTCAATAACTCCAAGTGTCTTTGACAGCCCTTAATCTCCATGCTTGGGTCTTTGTTTGAAATCGACTACCAAGGGAAGCCTACAGAGATTTATGCCTAGAGATTTTTTCAAATAAAGAAAACCACTATTATTCCACATTAGCAGAATCCATTACAATAACAATGTGCACAGTTGAAGCACCCATTGTTTGTGCACCCAATTTAGGTTTATCAGCTATGGGGTTTAATTCCTGTGCAATGAGCTCAACCTTTCCTCCATATACATTGATTTTATTTACTGTGCTAATGCAAAAATTGCGAGAGAGCACATTTCCCCGCTGATTTGTAGTGGTCACATCAGAGGTCACGCTGATCACAGGTGACGCTGCTAAGCTAATGAATCACCAAGGCAAAGGTAACAAGCCAGGTACAAGACGCAAGATGGCGGGAGGTTAAATGACACGTCACATGATGCCGATTCTGGTTTATCCCTCTCATCTGGAAGGAAACACTTTGCAGTTCAAACTGACCACTGACTTAACTCTTACATGCTCCTAAAATAATTATGTTACTATGAGAGAAGCCTGACCTTGTGCCTTTGTGGTCAATTTGACCCCAGGGTGTGAGAGAGTTGTGGTGATGTCATTGTTGGGCCCCTGAGCGGGGCCCTTAACCCCAATCGCTCCAGGGACCCTGTCCGACTCTGCACTCAGATTCTCACTTGTACGTCTCTTTGTAAAAAGATATGTGCTAAATAAATGCTAAATGTTAAACCATACTGTGGATATTATAGCACATGGCACTGTCTCACCTGCTTCTTTGTAGTTTGTTGCACCGTGTTACTCTATTGCCAGCTATAAATGTTACTACATTCCTACTATTTCTGGGCTCCGTGACCCCTGTAAACACTTTCCGTGTCACTGTGCTCTCACTCAAGTTGAAACGATGATGAAAATTGACTTAAACTGAATTGTTTCCTGATGAAATCCCAAGGCTGTAGATCAGAGGTGTAGTTAGACATTCTTGATCCCCTGAGAAGATGTTGTCTATACCCTACTGTAGATTTTGGGGCACCAACACAGTACAGGGTCTTCTGAATCCAGTAGCGGCCTCGGTGACCCCTCCTCAGCTGCAGTGTTTCCAGTGAGCCGACACACCACTGCAGAGGTATATTCACTGCTGGCAGTGTCAGTCTTCTGGGCTCAGGGGTGCAGTGCCATTGTTACTTGGCACCTCTTCGGTCATTGTTCTTCTTGCTGGGCTACAAATATAGAGGCTTTGGCTCCAGACTCTGGAGTCCAGAGTGTATTATCTTGAAGAGAATTATGGGACAGTCTTTGACAATGAGAATAAGTTGCTCTTACCAGCAAAGCACTTGGATACAATAACCGTGTGGCCACGTCTTTTAGGGACTGGAGCTTAGTGACTGCTCCACCCTTCCTTAAGATGGGTTTTAATCATATGTAATAACACTTCCCCCATCTATCTAAATTTGCTGCCTTTCATTGTGCTTATATGCTGTGTCAATATGTAGCTTTGTAGGTGATTATTGAGTAAATTTAGGTTTTATAAGAGTATAAACAGTATTAATAATTTCATTAACTGTTAGCTAATGTTTTCCTTTGGGATGGGGGGGGGGTTTCCCAGGGATATCTAGTATCTAGTATTTCTTCATCTTTCTACATGAAAAGAAGGTTGCATAGTGTTTCTTTTTGATATATTTCTATATCAACAATGATGACTGTTGTCTTTGTGTGAAATTTCAATAGCTCTACCATTCTGGAAGTTTTTGAAAATTGATTTAATCACTTAAAATAGTTGGATTTAAACTGTACAGAAAGGGGAGGTATCAATACACTAGGAGAATCAAGAGACCCCATACTCTATTAGGGCCATGGAATCGACAGCAGAGCGACCCCTGGCCTTGGGTCACGAGGTCGCTCAAGCCTCCACAGGAAGGGGTTTGAATCCTGCATGTGTGGAGCCTGCAGCTTCTCCCAGGGCTGCACAGGTTTCCTCTTGTTACTCTCATTTTCCGCTGCCGTCTAAAGATGATTTGGTAAATAGGTGTCTCCACCTCTAATTTGGCTTCTCGTCCAGAGTGTCCTATGCTGCCTGAGACAGACACCGGCCCGAGACCATGTTAGAGGACAGGTTACATCTTACTGCCTCCCCTTTCGGTTTTACTCACAATTATAATGAAGATATGCTCTCCTGTGATGGTGTGATGCCTCAGATGGCTGCACTGCTGCCTCATACCTGCTGGGTTGGAGGTTTGAGTCCCACCTCTGCTGCGGCCTGAAGACAGGCAGCTATACTGCCTGGGCTCGGCTTTACCCCCCCCTCCACACCCACATGCATCTCTAACCAGGATAAGCAGCTGTAAGATGGATTGATGATGCAGTGCACTGTACCTGATGTGTTGTGACACTGCTCTTGTAGCCTGTCCTCTGTACTCAGCCGGGCTTGTCTAACACTTAGTTGCTTGGTTGACCACTTCCTCTGAAAGTGACTTAGCACATTCAGCAGCTACATATTCCAGTTAGCTTCCCCGCTAATGGCTGCTACGGCAGGTCCCTGCATGGGGTCCTGGACAGGCAGCTTTCGAGATATGAGACCCCATCTTTAGCCGCCTTGACTAGGACGCCGAAACCTCTCCTTAGCTTATCCAGCTATGCAGAACATTAAGTGCAATTCTTATTTTCTGAAATTATACAGCAATTTGCAGTTTCAGTTATTTATACTACCATTTGTACCAAAATATTTCAAGTTAAGGGCCTTTTCAAAGTTACTATCAAAATGTGATTTTTCATTAATCATCCTATACGTATTATCATATGGTCAAAAAAGAATGATTAAGGGAGGAATGTTGAAGTATGTTGCAGTTTTGGGATTAACTTTGGGGGAAGTTAACCTGTTTGAAGTCTGGCTAGGCTGGTGTTCTTATCTGGTGCAAAAGTAAAATGGTTCTCATTGCACGTTTTACAGTAATATGTCATGTTAGTTTTTCTCAAATGTGAAGAAATAAATACTTGCATAAAATCTTACATGTGATGTGAAACTAACAGAGTTTATCTATTGAATGGCTTATTCAAATACTTAGTTTCGCAAGTAACTATATTTAGGCTGAATTGGCAATAGTAGCATTCAAATGTTTTTTTGACACGTTTTAAGAAACGCAGGTAAATAAGACTGGCGTGGACCGCCGCACTGTAAAAAAAAAGGTATTAAAAAGAAAAAAAACTCGCTCTCTCCCCTTCATCGGCCGTGGTAAATTCTCCAGGATCCGTTTCAAAGCCCGTTAGAGGAGACGGCTTTTAACGCCAGCCTAGTCCAAACAGCGCTTCAACCTGGTTGCCTTTCCGTCAAAACCCCCGCGTGTGCTAAGCGCGGCCGTCCATTTTAAGGAGCCGTGTATAAGATCGGAAAACCCTGCATGGTGCGGACCCCACAATAAGAGGAACCCGACCTCTGCACCTTTTGACTCATGTTTTTACCTGGACAAGCGACAGAGGTCTGACTAACAAGGTAACCGAAACCGTTCTCTCTAAAGTAGGTTAGAATCGCATTGCGCATCCCGTTCAGGTCTATGTATCCCGTTGGTTTCGCACATGATAACCAGTTAAAACATCAAACAAACGTCAAACTGGGTTAGTAAACAGTTATGCGTACGTCCCGATTTGCAATATGCTGAGTGGTCTGGATGCTCTGACATGTACAGCTTCGCAGCTATGCACACGATGTGGACACATAATCTCTCCCTATGTGTATTACTTACTTTAAAAGCATTTTTTTGGAAACGAAACAATCCCGGCTCTTTCCCACTGGCACTTATAACTTGGCCGGTTGGCGCTTATTAAGGGGATGCGTATTGTTTTTGCGATCAGCGGGACTTGTCCTTGAGATGTTAGTAACTCCGATGTGTTGGCAGAAACGGCCCACAGAGAAATAGCTTCGGTTCCGATTCGGTTTCATTCTTACCTTGGACATTGTGGAGCACTCCGGGTTGCACGTTGCCGGTGCTGTTATCTGCGAGGTCGGGGTATCACCTTCTCGGATGTGACACGGTGTGCCGTCCCCCGCTGCGCAGCCGAATTGATTCACTCATTCTTAAATGAACGCAAATCAGTGCACGGACGATGCATGCATGAGCCCGATTAACAACCGTGTTTCGGAGTTTATATTTATAGAAGACACAACGACAGCAGTTTTTCACACATTTCATTTTTAAGGCAGTGCTGTAGGGAAGTCGCAGAGCCTTGGGTTAATAAGCGTTTGATTTTGAAGAGCTGTTTGTGTAGGATGACACAGTTTGTGATGTCTTTATTTGTGGAAATAAGAAACAAATTGTGGGGAAAATAGCAGTTACCTGAGAAAGCGAGTGCTGTGATTGTTCTTCCTTAGACAGACGGTTTTATTCTGAGCGCATCACTGAAGCGATACTCTTTTGGGGATCGTGTCCTTTGCATCTAAGTCAGATGAAACGCAGTCCTGTACCTAACTGGATTGCACAACACAGCTGACGAGAACAAGAGTAAATTGATTTTACACGCATGACAGTCATATGTAACGTTAGACATACTGTTTTGAAATGTGAACTTAGTTCAGAAGTACCTCTTCATTTGAAGGTATTGCAATAAATGATTTAAAAACTGATGGTATTTTTTATGAAAGCAACGTTCACAATTAAATAAAGCACATTGCAGTAGGCTAACAAGAGGTAATTTCCCCATATTTCCCCAGTAATACCATATACTCCATACTTTATAATGTTGGTAGAAATGTTACTGTGAAGTGTGTAAAATACACGTTAAGGACACTTTGATGCTTAAAATGGGACAGCAGTTTGCATCTTCAGCACGGACCGAGGACGCCTGTCCTCTTTAAATAGATGTATGTTTGTTTGTTTACTCAAGCTGTTCCAGAATTCAATCAGGGCATTTTTCACGTGAGACAGGAAAGCCTTTGGGAACCGTGAGGGGGAAGAGTTGAGACTCCCGCCTCGTTAAAGACAGCTCCTGTCTCTGGATCCGGCTGCGACTTGCCTGAAATGCGATGCCTTTGCTTTTCCGTATAGCCGTTCTCTCCTGCAGGGCTGCAATCGGAGCCGAGCCGGTACCGCGTGCTAGTGCCCGAGCAAGGAACGATCCCAGCCTAGCCGCCCCTCGCTCCTCTCCCTCCGGTCCCTCCTTCCTCTGAGCCCGGCTTGCCCAGACCGGTGCCGCTTAGTGATTTTCCCTCCCGTGTTTAATCTTTGCGAAGGGAGAAATCAGTCCCTGATCAGAGGAGCGGAGAGAAGGACCGAGGACCGCCGCATCGCTGCTCCGGAGGAAGGAGAGGCAGCCGGCGGACGTTTGTCCTTGAAACTGCACCAAAACTCTTGGAAGACGCCAGGAACCAGGCGTAAGTAGTGTGCTCTCAGACGGCTGCACTGACAGTAGGGAGTTCGGGGGGACCTGCTGCTTGGCAGTGACTTGCCAAGCAGAGAGATAGGTCTCGTTGTCAGATGTATCCTGAAATCTCGTGGTTCTGTTTAAATGCCTAATGCTTTGTGACAGGGGATTATACAATAGGCAAAGTGCCGTATGTTTCACGAAGGAATGCCAAAGTGGCACAAAACTCTGATTCTCGATGTCTCTCCCGGCCGCGGCTCTCCCGTTTCCGGACTGCATGACAGCCAACTCGTTTAGTTAGTGTGGGCTCCACTGCATGAAAAGCATTTTTTAAAAAAAGGTTTTTCAGTTATGTGCAGAATGCAGTTTTGTTATTTGTTTATTTATTTTTAATAGGTCTGCCAATAACCTGACAGTGTGCATGTGTAACAGTACCTGCCCTGACAGGCCGTGTAATTAAAACGCCTCTTGCCTGTGTTTTGAAGAACAGAGGGATGAGTTTGACCTCTCCTGCATTTTCCAGCACATTCATGTGCCCGACCACGCGCTTCGGAAACTGTCCCATGCTGCGATGGAGAAAAAGCAAAGCACCCTTCATCTACCCGAAGTACACGTATAAATGTGTAAAATTACGATTCTGCAATTCAAAGTGACATTATGCATTTAAGCGTGATGTTGAGGCAGCTGTAAAATCCCGGCCAGCGTTGTGTAGATACCTACCAGGCACTGCAGGCCACATGCTCCCATATTAAACCAGTGAGTGGTCATGTGCTGTGGAAAAGGCAGCATTTTGTGGTTTATAGATATTAATTTGAAACTCAGGGTGAAAAATAAGAAACTGCAGCCTTTGAGAGCAATTCAGCGGTGGTGACTTAGGGCTGGCAGATTCACTCCTGCTCTTCCTGCATCTCTCCGACCCGGGAACGCTCTGAGGGAGCCGCGCTTTTCCGAGAAAGCCCGCCCTTCCCCCCCCGTTTACAAGCGTGATGGACGCAGTGTTCCGGGGTTTCAGGCGAGGTAATCGTCGTGGATCCCGCTCCAAGGTCAATAGCGCGACTTGAAAACGGCACAGTCTAGGAGTCCGGGAGTAATGGCCTGACGTGGAATCATATTTTTTCGATTTTTTTTTTTTTGCGGATCTACAAAGAGATCTAATATTCACATATCGCCCTCAGTTCACCTCCTGATAGGCCCGTTTGGAGGAAAAATCCTGAACTTCGGTGGCCTTCACTCAACAGTTTTTCACATTTTTTTAGAAAGCATACTGCTGCGATGTCATACCCCTCATGTCTGAGATGCTTAGATCTCATTTCATTGCGGTGCAGCATCTAAATGTCCAGGTCATCAAATTTGTTCAATCGTCAAAATGATTTTCGTGACGCTGCCCACCACAATAGCTTTATCGTGGAGATATTTTCGTAACATTAACATGCAGGTTGGAAGACTTTTTAAAGATTCTAAATTATCCTTAAGGAAAGAGGGTCAGGTTGTGTAATGCTTCAGGAGGTAGAAATTTGACCGGTGGGGTTTATGTTCGGATCCATATTACAGTACTGCTGCACCCCAGAGTATTGATAGTAATGACATCATGGCTGCTTTGTGGGACACCCAGAGATATAAACGGACCAAAGCGTTTCCTTTTTTAACACTGAGGTCTGAGTTTTCCTGTTTTTGTTTTGGTTTCAGATTCCTGGATTCATTCCTCGTCTCTCTGTCGATCACATGGTTTTCGGGTGCATTTCGTCGTGCAGTTGTGCCTAAATCGAGTGGATTGATAGCGTCCAAAGTCCGTGGTCCTGTAGCTTCTCATTCAAACACAGGTGATTTTCTGGGCTCGGATAGATTGGGCGAATTATATGAAATCAGCTTGAGTACCAGAATTGTGGAGTCATGTCATTTTTAATGAATTATATCCAGTTCAATGACAAGCAAAAATTTGCATTCTGTGTTTGTTAGGCCGTTTCATGGTTCTGCAAAAATGTGCATGTGGGACAAGTCAAATATACTTAATGTTAAGCTTTGTATTCTCAGAAGTCTATTAGTTGCTGTAACATTATGTTAGTGTCGAGGACAGGGAACTGGGAAGTTTTTACTGTTGCTATTAATGGTTAAGCTCTGTCTCAAAATTTTACCAAATACTGACTCATCTTTTGCACATGGTAATTTGCACGGCTCCATTGGACGACTCCTACATGGTCTCTGGATATCAGCAAGTACCAAAAGGAAGATGGTGAACTTGCCGCTTACATTTATATTCTGGAAATACAGACGGCATTCCTAAATCTCAAACAAGGGATGAGACACAAGACGGCATGCCGTTCTTAAGGTCCAAGCCTCCTTCATTCTGTCTGTTTTTTAGAACATTAATTTAGGTGTGATATGTCGACTTTCTGAACGCCTCTCGGAAAAGCGGGGATTCACGTGGACGATACAGACATGCCGATACCGAAATGTCTCTCCGTTCACCCTGCTGTCCGGCGTCATTCCGAAAGCCATGCCTCATGCCTCCGAGTGCAGCGGGATCAATAACTTGAGATATTCATTTACTTCTGGCCCTATAAGGGTAGCTATTATTTATAATCGCACAGATATTTTGGGCTAAGCGTCGTGCGCCATTTTGGTTTTTTCGTACTGCCTGCCATAGCTACAGGCTTCCCTGAGCTGATCCTGTGTCTCGGCACCTGGCAGGATCTGGCGTCTTGCTTCATTACTTATAAGATCACAGCTGCTTCATCTGGAAGTGAGTCTGCAGTGTGACAGCACTGCTTGGACGTGGGTCGTCTCAGGTTGGGTGTGTAACAGGATCCCGTTGTTGGGGGGGGGGGGGTGGGGGGTGTACGGTCGTGTGCTGCTTTAGTATCTGTTGTAAAATGTGTAGCTGCAGTGAGGGAGCTCTGGCGGCAGATGAAAAGGTTCAGATGTGAAGTCGGCCATATTTGCTCGCCTGCGGACATGTGAACAGCACTTGGAATTCTTACTTTCATGGCTTCAATGTTAGTCATTAAGATGTTTGTATTTGTTAGACTTTTTGTTGTAATTATTGTATGAACATAAACAGATTTTGAAAAACGGTAAACATCACAAATGAGGATTAAATACGTGTGACCTGATCTTACTTTATGCCCTGATTCTTGGTGGATTTTTTTCTCTTAACATTCCATCCATCCATCCATCCATCTGTCCTTTCAGTAAAATTACAATAATGCAGTTTCAGCACATAAGTGTTCTACTCTTTGTATGTTTATTATTTTTTACACTACCTTGAAGTAACGTGTTGGGTTTTTCCCATCCATTTAGAAAATTGAGCTACTGGCGTCGTACCCTGACCCGCGCTCATATCCGCCGAATCGCCGGCGGTGGCGGTGGACTGGGGCCTTGGTGGGGTTTTTTTTGGCCGGGATTCCCGTCAAGTGGTGGCAGCCGGGTATGCAGAGCAGGTTTTGTTTAGCCGTGTAAATGGAAATTGCTAATCAATTTTTCCCGCTTATTTCATGGCCCGTGGTTTCTTCCCCACCCCTCCAGCTGGTTAATCATGCACAAGCTGAACACTTCATTACCCAGGACATGTTTGCCCCTCAGCTCTTTTCCCGCTGGTAAATTACTTCTCTCTATTTATACAGGTACGGTGGGTCAGAGGTCCCTGGGTTAGGGAAGGCGGAGGTGATGATATTAATATAGGACCAGGTTCCCCTGGATCGCAGACCCACAAACGTCCCCTAACTTATAATCTCACGAGGGAAGGATGATAATTACTGCCACCAGAGAGGGGGGTGTTTAGCCGCGTACTTCATGGGATGCACTGGCAGGTCTGCGCCCGAGAGCCTCGAACCGGCACTGGGAACCTGTCCCTCGTGCCGCTCCATTCTCCTTGCAGCGGTGCTTTAGTTGGAGATTGATTGGTTTTCCTATCTCCCACCCAATCACTGGAAGCCATCATTACCCCCTGGGGTCTGTCTGTCGATTAGCGCTCCCCAGTGGTTTGGAGGACTGTTCGTTTCTGAGCGGTGCCACCTGGCCCCATCCACGGGTCTCATTTTTGTTTTTTGCATAAAATGTTATGTTAAGTTTCAGGCAGGTGCCACAGATATGTGTGAGGTTCATCAGAACTGGGGTTTCGATCCTTATGTAGCCGTAAAGGTGTAAGTGACCCCCCCCCTCCCCCCCACCCAAGTTCAGTAACTATAACTAAAAGAGTTTGTCACCTACACTTAGATGCCGATATCTTTTCACCAGCTCTCTTTCTGCGATGGAGGAGGGACAAGCCATCGGAGCTTGGTGTCACCCAGTATTAGATACTAGTGAAGAAGAAACGCCCAGTGAACAGGGGGCTCTGGAGCGGCCCTGTCTGCTCGGCAGGGCGGTGGATGGTGTGACCCCGAGGGCCCGCAGCTGCTCCACAGATGGCAGCTCCACTCGTCCGCCCCGGCCAGCATCGCCGCTCCGCCACGCCCGTTCGGTCCCTCTCCCGAGATCAGCATCCCCGCATCCTAAAAATACCCCGTGCCCCTCATCCTATTACCCCGATCCTGTGGCATCTGATTTCGAGCAGGAGGGACGGGGCATTTTTGGGGCTAAGACATTCCTGCCTTAATTCAATAAACGTCTTGGGCGGCACGGCGGCCCGTGTCACATTTTCCGTCCGTCCGCCCGCCCGTGGAGGCGGGGAGTGCAGGGACGGCATCTGTTTGCTTTTGCCCCTGCCTCTGTATCGCATCACAGCGGAGCATTTTCATTGAAACAGGAGCACATCCGTCACGTGTCTGCGGGTATAAATATCCCCACACGGTCCCCGAAAAGTCTGCCTGACACCCTAACCCCCCTGTTTTTTTCCATCCCATTCCCAGGGTCATAATGTCTTGACACAGTTAATAGATGATTATCTCATCTTAAAA